GGGGGAAAAAGGGAGGCGGGGCTTTCTGCCAAAGGTCTGAGCACCCGAAGGCGTAGACCCACTTGGCGGGGACGGCTAGAGGACGGCGGGCTCTGGCCCGGGCGGGCTGAGGGTCCCTGGGGAGCTGGTGTCCAGTTCTCTTTCCCTGAGGGCTGCGGCGAAAAACCAAGCAAGCGCCCTCCGGAAGCCGCAATAAGTCATCTAATCTTTGTCTTGTGCCACAGGGTAATTAATCACAATTAATATTTTGCCGGAGAAGTTGTGGGAACCAAGGGCCTTAGCAGTCAGCAGTCAGGCTGTAATCAAGTTTTTACTGCTGGCAAGGTAATAAATAACTACCTGAGAGTTTGGGGCGCTAATGGTTGAGCACTATAAAAATGAGCGCTCCTTTCCTTTACACCAAGAAATGTCCCCACACCTACTTCAGCTGTCCAGCTGTGTAGATCACACGGGCGTCCACAGGCAGTTCAAGTAACAAGGCAAAACCATTCCTTAACATCGGACCACTTTACCTATACACACACACAAGCATCCTGTGCTTCCATTCAATTAATGGCATCTTTAGGTGTTAAAGCTAGAAAGCTCAAAGTCCAATTCAAATCCTGCCTCTCCTTCATTACACCATCTAGTAACCAAATGCTATTGCTTCTGTAATTGATTATCTGCTGTTACTTAAATGGTCCCATTCCTCCCCACAACGTCCTTCCACAGCAATTACCCTCAGCATATCTCCTCTGGATCTTTGTAAAATTCTCTTAACTTTTTTTTATTTCCATATCTCTTTCCTCCATTCTACATACAATAATCATCAGATATTATTGATGATTACACTACTGCCTGTTCAATAATCTTTACAAGTCTCCATATGTAAAAATCTAACTCCTCAGCCAATGATTCCAGGCCCTTCACATTTTATTTTCTCTGAGTTTTGCCAGGCCCCTTGTTCTATCCTATTGAATGGAAGCTCTCAAAACAATAATATTAAATTTACTAATTCTTCCATGAGAATTTTTAGCTTTCATTTTGTATATAAGGAGAACTGAGGCATAGAGAGATTAAGTTACTGCCCCAAAAGGGTTATTTTCCAATATTAGGGGGATGACTTTATTTTTTGTCTTTTGTTTATTGTTACCCAGTGCATTGTAATAAGTACTAGAGTAGTGTTGAAGTATGGTAGCAATCACCTCAGGTAGAAACTATAGTTTAACTTTAACCCTGCTGTTTGGCTTCTGTACTTATTTGCTTTGTTTAACAATAGAAAAGTTATTTTAGGACAGAAAGGCACTCTATCGACACAGCGAAGCATAAAAAAATGCCGAGACAAAGAAACAGGACACAAACGACAGAATTGGAGGAAAGCAAACTGTTGGATATAGAGTTCAAAACCACACTTTTAAGGTCTTTAAAGAACTGTTTAGAAGCCGCCGATAAATTGAGTAAGGCCCTCGAAAAGACTGGTGAGACCGCCGATAAATGTAGTGAGATCCTCAAGAAATCTAAGGGCTCTAGATAATGTGTTTCTGTCAATTCAGTGATCCAGAGACCCAAAACTGTAGTTTAGATAACATGCTGCTTCTGCTTCTGTAAACTGCTTTTTGCAAATCAGGTTCCTCATTCCAAACCTTGGGATGTAATCAATACCTTTGTGATCTTTGCCTATATAAGTCTGGTTTTGCGACCATATTATTACTATGAGATTTGGGAGAGCAAGATGCCCCCTCATAGTCCCGTATTGCAATAAATGTGACTCTTTAATTCGGCTTCTTGAGGCATCCTTCTGTGATTCTCGGGGTACATTACAACAGTGTTTTCCATTGGGAGTCATGAAGCATCATTCAGAATCAGTGTAGTGTGATGAAATGTCAGAAGGAATGTTTCAGTAATTTGTTGCTTATAAAAAATGCCAATATGGCCCTAACTGGTTTGGCTCAGTGGATAGAGCGTCGGCCTGCGGACTGAAGGGTCCCAGGTTCGATTCCAGTCAAGGGCATGTACCTTGGTTGCGGGCACATCCCCAGTAGGAGATGTGCAGGAGGCAGCTGATTGATGTTTCTCTCTCATTGATGTTTCTAACTCTCTATCCCTCTCCCTTCCTCTCTGTAAAATGTCAATAAAATATATTTTTTAAAAAAATGCCAATATGTCCTAATGACCTATTTCTGGATTGAAGATAATGCCTATAAAGCTCCACTTCCTAGATGGAGAGAGAAGAGTGGTGCTACAATTAATGTGTACAACTGATAGGAGGGTCAGGTGTGTCCTTGTGGACAAAGGTCAAGAAGTGTCATATAGGACCACCTCAAAGAGCTCTGATTATTAATTAAGGGCTTTAAATTTCAATATTTAAGCCAAGTCCAGAAACATTGAAATTCTCAAATGCTAAATTTAAAAATTACTAGTTACGAAAAAGGACATAATTTAAAATATGTGTAGCCAACTAAAATGATTTAATAAGACATATAGTGGTTGCTGTCATTAAATCAGTAGCTGAAAACTCATGAGTAGAGAACCCAACCTTGAAATAATTAAGTAGCTCATTAATACCTAGCCTTCCTTTCTGAGCAAAGGTCTCAAGCTATCTTTTGTGAATGATAAAAAGGAATTATCAGTAACTAATACTAACAGCTATCAAAAAGCCAGTTACAATTAAGGAATATCAAAAGAAAAGAAATTAAGATAAGCTCACATAACAGATTTTTCTACTACTTATAAAATAAATCAAGAAGATATTAAAGCTGAACCACTCCTCTAATACTTTTAACCAAATAATCAATTTTTATCTTGCTTTGATAGATTTCTCTAAAATTATCTACTTTTATATAAACTTTAAAAGCAAAGTATGTTGAGTCACAATCTGATTACTTCAAAGATTTAGCTACATGAATGTAAAATGCTATAATTGTGAATAGTTTACCAACAGTGTGCTTCAAAAACAAGTGTATTGGAAGATTTAGAAAATAGTAAAATTTTAGAGAATAATTAGAGTTACTTTTAAATTTTGGAAATAAAAAATTGTATTTGCCTTGAACATTTTGTCAAACAAAAATCAATTTTTATCTAAAGAAATACTTTAAATGTATGAAATAGCCCAATTGGTGTTGCTCAGTGATTGAGCATCAACCTATGAATCAGGAGGTCACAGTTCATTCTCAGTCAGGGCACATGCCCAGGTTTGCAGGCTCAATCCCCATTGGGGGGTGTGCAGGAGGCAGCCGATCAATGATTCTCTCTCATCATTGATTTTCTATCTCTCTCCCCCTCTTCCTTCCTCTTTGAAATCAATAAAAATATTTAAAAGTTTGAAATAGTAATTATTTAATTACATGGAGAAGAAAACTTTAATTCCTTTTATCATGTTCTGATCAAAGAAGTTTTCACCAAGACATATTTTTATCAATTCCTCACATTCTCAAATCTAGGAGACCCTATTCTATTTTGGATGACCTTTGGGTCATAATTTTTCCTCCTTCTTCCTGGGAGTTATGCTACAAAATTCTCTACAGGAAGATTGCAGAACTCCATTTTCTTCCAGGATGTGGTATATTATTAGGATGCGCTATATTATTAGGATGCCTAATGTCAAGTAACAAAAGAGTCAATTCAAATAAAGTTGAGCAGCAAGGAAATTTATTATCTCACAATAAGAAAGTAAAAAAAATTAAGAAGTCTACGGGAATAGTACAATCAGTAGCTTCATGGTGCCATCAAAGACCTAGATGCCCTCCAACTCTCCAATCTGCCATCTTCAGTGACCACCTCATTCTAAAGCTGGTACTCCTCATGATCCAAGATGACTGTGGCAATTTTAGGTTTCACATATGGACATAATATTCACAAGCAGAAAAAAATTTGTTTAGAAAATTTCCCTCTCTCCTGTAGACCTCTCATATTTCAGTCTAATGCTGGATCTCATGCCCACCTTTAAAGGGGACTGTTATAACTAGGATTAGCTTAGAGCAGCAATTTTCAAGTGATGTGCTACAAGAATTTAAAAAACATGCAATACCTGACTTTTTAGTCAGGGGTACTGACCTCTTTTCCCTTAGATTATCAAATAAAAAAGTAGCAACAACCAGCACAACACTAGCCATCCGGTGACTTTATTAATTAGTTTATGTGTGCCATGAAATGGAAAAGGTTGAAAATAGTTGGCTTAGCCCTGGCCAGTTTGGCTCAGTGGATAGAGCGTCAGTCTGCAGACTGAAGGGTCCTGGGTTTGATTCCGGTCAAGGGCACATGCCCAGGTTGCGGGCTCGATCCCCAGGAGGGGATATGCAGGAGGCAATGAATGGTTCTCTCTCATCATTGATGTTTCTCTCTCTCTCTCCCTCCCTTCCTCTCTGAAATCAATAAGAAATATTTTTAAAAAGCAAGGCATACTTTATTAAAATGTATCAATAAGCAAACAAGCAACACAGATACCATATATAGGTTAAAAAAAAAAAAAGTCATGTCTCAGCAGGTTGAGGTGGAAAGGCTAATGTTCCAGAGATAAAAATTACTCGTAAGAGAAACAATCAACTCCCACTTCTCTGGGATTCAGATCTGGGAATCAGCACCAATGGTGAATCAGCTGGTCTTGATCATGGTATCTGAGGACCAAGAGAAGAAGTGACATGACTTCTACAGATCCAAGGGCACGTGCAGATTAATTGATTAATATCAATAACTCTAATCTGTTTGGAAGAATTCTATTTGAAAGCCAAAGATTATTGAAC